GCTTTGGATGGAGGAAAACTCCTTGACAGCAATCTCCTTCGACCAGTGCCGCCTGGGCCAGCTGGTCAAGAAGGCCACCACACTTGCCACGGATCTCCCAATCCAGGACTGGGATCAAATGCGGTGCACACATCAGTCACATGTGGGCACCAGCGAGTCCTCGACTCTCAGCAGATACCCCTGGGATATGATGGCAGGCCTGGCCAAAGCCATCGCTGTGTCACTCGCAGCGCCGGGGCACATCCGGATCCCCTCACAATTCCCGGGAAACCCTAAGGAACCACCTAAGGGAAGGGGGTCGGACCCCCCTGGGGGCCCTTCTCCCCGGGGAAAACGGGGACCCAATCAGGGAGGCGGTCCCTCCTCGTCACACCAGGGCCCAGAGCCCGGAGGCAAGAATGCCCCGAAGCCCCGCCAGCACGGGCACATCCACCATGAGGCTGACACCGTAAGCCCTCGTGGAACTATGAGTCCAGACTTCCCATCTCCCATGCCCCCGATGGCCGGAGATGCGGAACAACTGGAAAAGGAAGAACATGGGGACCAGGTCCTGGACCGCCCCGAATGCCTGCCCGCTTTCCGGGTCCCACGCCTCACTGACCGAGTTGCGATTGTCCAATTGGGTTTCCGTTCACGCCCCCTGAGAGATGGGGGGGGAAACCTTCCCCGGGGAGGCTCAACCCCCCTTTCGGAGAGTTTCCCCTTTGGCTACTTTGGGCGCCCTGATCATGACCCTTACCAGGCCCTGGATTGATAAGGTCCGGATGTCCCTGGCATCAGGTGCCACCACACACCCCTTCCAGGAAACCGACCTCGAGGAGCTGCGGGCTATCCTAGGACCGAGGCACCTCCATGAACGATGCCCAGGACAACCCTTCCTCCTGGACTTAGTGTCGCACTTGGCATCCCTTTCAGGTGACCCTGATTGGGAGTTCCCCCTGACACTGAAAGAGGGGGTCCCCTTGGGAGTCTCGGACCCTACCTTGACCTCCCCGGGAGTTTGGCCCACTAAGGAGGAGCTTAAGGGAGAAGCCTGGCTGGGGGAAGATCCCCCCCCGCCAGTGGCTCATGATAACTACCCAACGGCTGAACTCTTTGCCAAGGAAATCGAATCAACCTTTTACGAGGAACGAGCCTTGGACATGGTGGACGGTCCCTTCACTCGCTCCGAGGCGGCAGAGAGGTGCCGCTGCAAACCGGAGGAACTTTGCCCGGGCCCCCTTGCAGGGATTGATGAGTCGGACAAGATCAGGACGATCTATGATGGCTCAAAAGGGGGAGCAAACGCACACATCCAGGCTCACACGGAGGAGAAGACCACCGCACCGATGGTTGGAGACTGCCTCCATGCCATCCACTGGCTCAGGACAGCGGCGGACCATCCTCATCTACTCCGAGCCCCATCCTCGGGCACTGATGAGGAACCTCGGGATGTTCACCAGCCGGTGCAGGGGCAGTCCCCAGGTGCCGAGGGCCCTGAGAGGGACCCCCACAGCACCAGCCTGCCCCCAGGTGCCGAGGGCCCTGATAGGGGCAGGCGGATGATGGAGACCTCCGGCGGCCTGGACGTCTCTCCGCGGTCAACACCCTCAGGGAAGGGGCCACTCCCAGGTGCCGAGGGCCCTGATAGGAGGGCCCCATTCCCCCCAACCCCCCCAGGCACGGAACGCCCCGGGGGGAGCAGGGGGGAACCCCTGACGTGGCAGCCGCCGACACAGGGGGAAACCTTCATCATCCTCAAGGCGGATGTCACCAAGGCCCACAGGCGCATAAAAGTGCTCCAGAAAGACTGGAAATACCAGGTGGCCTGCATCCAGAACCGGTGGTGGGTCAATAGAGTGGGCACGTACGGCATGGCCTCGGCACAACTGTACTGGGGAAGAAAGGCATCCTTGGTGCTCAGACTCTTGTACTACATCTTCCCTCAGGTGGACTGGCACTTAGTTTTTGTGGACGACTACTGCTGGGTCCTCAGATGCAGCAGGGCGGACTGGGACGCCACAGCCATCCTGGCCACTCTTCTGGCGCTGGGAGTCCCGCTTTCTTGGAAGAAGACGGCGCTCTCCCCGGTCAATACCTGGTTGGGATTCGTGGTGGACCCAATCACGCCCTGTGTGCTGCTGGCTCCAGTCAAGCACGTCATAATCCTGGCCACTCTCAAACGGCTGGCCCAGGGGGACATCTTTACCAGCAAGGAGGTGGAACAAGCCCTGGGCCGGATTCAATGGGCTACTTCGGCGTGTCCATTGACGAAACCTTTCCTCCAGCCCTTTTGGAGCTGGAAGAAGGCCTGCACCACTTCGGGCAGGCCACCGAAGCTGGTTCGTGCTCTGGCCATCCTTCTGGGGAAGCTCTTCAACCAGAGGTTCCCACTGGCATCTCCATTTGCTCCCACACTTCCATGGACGGGGGCATCTGATGCGGGAGCTGGCAAACAGGCGGACCATGCATGGGTTGGTGGTTGGTGCTCGGACGTGCCCAACCCCGACAAGTCCCGAGTGAAGTGGTTCCAACACAGAATCACACCGGAGGGCGAGCCGTGGGCCTTCACTACTGGGGACCCGCAGCGGGCGATAGCGGCCTTGGAGCTCTTCGGCCTCCTCCTTTTGGTGAGGGCTGTTCTGCTTTGTGCAGCCGGCTCGGCTTCTCACACTAGGATTCTGGTTGCTAGTGATAACCAGGGAAACGTTTTCTCCCTGCTTAACGATTCCACTCGCAGGATGCCCAATGCGGCCATCCTCATGGAAATTGTGTTAACACTGCATGACCACCAGGTCATGTTAGGACCGTCGCATGTGAAGCGCGACTTTAACACATGGGCGGATGAACTTACTCATCCGGACCCGCAATTTCCGACTGAGAACCGGGTCTTCCCCTCAGTCGAAAGCGAATTGATCAAGCTGATCTTCGCTACTTTCCTTCCTCACCCATGATGCCGGGAGGGCATCCGGTGAGGTGGGAGGATTCCTCCCTCGCTGTGGGAGTGGCATCAATCCTACTCCCATCAGCTGCTGAGGGGAGCTGCCCAGTGGAACTGGGCAATCCTCCCATTTTGGCACTAACCCTTATGCGGCAATAAAGGAGGCACCGTTTTGCGAATAAGGCCTCAGTAGCACCTGAGTGGTGCTTCAAAGAGTCAGGTTGAAATCAACGGTTTGGACGTTTTTGGACCATCGACTCAGGAAGACGAGCCAAAGGAGCGGTACCTTGAACGACCTGTTGAAGCTGAATGATGACTTTGAGATTGTGCGATGCATGCATCTCTCCTTTGCCATTGGCTCAAGAACATGCAGCCAGCCGTTTTCGTATGCGTGTGTGCGTGTTCTATTCTTGTTGTTCTGTTATCATGAAAGATTGCCAGCTGTTTATTAGAAGACCCTGAATAGATGTCCAGTGCGGGAGCGTTGCGCCCGTTCTGGAAGAATTAACTGTCTTTACCCGCCTGTCATACATCCTTCCCTGGTAAGACAAATGCAGATATCAGGGAAGCTCCTGCACCCCCCAACAGCTGCTTTTTGGACAGTACCAAGGGGATATTGGCCGTGACTGACTGAAACGGCAGTTGTTGCGACCCAGGTGCTGGAAGTTAAACAGACAGGTGCAGAATGAGCCATTTGGTTATAGGTCAAAAATAGGTACGCCAAATGAAGCAAATGGCTTGCCCTGGGAAATGGAAACACGGACCGAAATCTGCTGTCCATATCCTGGCTTAGCTTGTCGTCTGTGGATGCCTTGGCCTCCATCTGCGAGGCGATGGGTTTCTGGGCACATCCTCGCTTCGGGAAGTGTCAGGTCGATATCGGCGAAATATGCGAAACACGTCCTCCAAACTCGTGTAGATAAAGGTTAGTAAGGGACTTGTGATATTTTTTTGGCAGCCGCCAGGGGGGAACTCTTTACATGGCTTTGGGTTCAGCATTTTGGTGCCAGGTTTTGATTGCGAACTCACTTGTGGTGAGGCGTATGTAGGGATATGTGATTTTCAACTGGCACATTGTGACTTCCCAGATGCCTGAAGCTCATGTTTCGCAGCGTCTTTAGCTCCATATCAAATGGGTGGGTGACATGAATCTCGAAGTAAAGAAGGGCATCCACGAAAAAACACCGGGCTATCTAGATGTGATGTGGAAAAATCCTTTGAACGTGGCCATGCCAGAAAACCAAGCCTTTGCGGAGTTGTGTTGGGTGCGAACGGAACCGACATGAGACCAGCGTTAGTGGAAGATTCCCTGGGTTATTCGGAATGTAAGGGGCGGAATGGAGAGGTTGGTGTACTTTACAACAAATACTAGTCACGATTATAGGGGAAGAAGGTATGTCCTTTGTTGTAATTCAACTTCCTGAGACCAGGATTGATGCGCTGCCATCCCAGCACGCCAAATGGCGTTTGATTCTTTGGTTCTTTTTCCACATGCAGCAGTTTCATGAAATTCTTAGTTTTGTTTGCTTGGGTTCGGAACATATTGTGTTTCTTCCAATGGCTCACATCCAGTAGCAGCAGTTTATGCCAGGCTGATGCTTGCAGGGGGAAACCTTGTTCTGATGCTTCCGAACGGTTGAATAAGGCTTGTCAGTCATTCCAATGACAGAGGTTCTGTGAAACATGGGATTGCGCTTTGGTTTGGTTTAGCTGCATGCTTTGGCCCCGTGGGGGCGCCCAAGTTTTGTGAATGCTCCGTGCGTGGCGTGCGAATGGGCTCAAGCTAAGGATTGTATGGCTTCATGTGTTTCTTTGTTTTGCAAATGCACGGTCTCCGGGCAAGCAAAAAACGCTGGAAAGAACATGGAAACTCCGCAACTGCAGCAGACATGTAAGCCTTTGCGATACTCATTGCCAGTGCCTACCTTGCGTTAGTTTCCGTGAGGAACATGCCGCAATGTGATTACTGTACCTGAGCACCTTGTTTGGGTTTGTCCCGTCGCTTGAAATATCAGCGGCTGGCCTACTTTAGACTGTTGAACAGAACTGTTGCGACTTGCTTGCGGCGCCTGCCAGTGCCATGTCTGGCCTCATGCGGCTGGGCGCAGTGCGCGCGGCCTTGCCGCGCGCTCGCGGCTCGAGTGGGCAGCGCACGGCACCGTTTGTGCTGGGAGTGCGCCACTTCTCGCGCATCGATGCGTACCAGCACTACTACGGGAAGCTCAAAAACCAGGAGCCCTCATCAGCCCAGCGTCCCAGTTGCCACGACTGGGAAACCAACCATGTCTCCTTTTGGCTTTTGAAGGGCGGTTCCCTTGGGTACCTACCATGCAGGTAAATGGAATCATATACATTCGAGCTTTCAACTCGTTCCCAAGCGCATGCTCAATGCCGTTGCAGTGCCTATTCCCGCGGCAAGACACGAACTGAATCGGAATCGTCAAAGAAGTGACATCTGATTGAGCCTTGATACTTGCAGCGGCGGATCCCTGCTTGCAAGTGGCAATGCCACCGAGATGGCAAGCTTTTGACCACCTAAATCGGGAAGCCATCCAGTTGGCGCGCCCTGGCCGGGATATGGTGCGCATGGATTCCAGAAGGCATCGGCTTTTCCGGGTTTGTGCTGCATGCACGCAAATTCGGGATCATACAACGCCTCTTCCCTAAGTTCCTCCAAAGACCCTAAGGCCTTATTTGGGTTTGTCTTTTTTTGGGGAAACCTCCCAAAATGGTGGTTGTCCTTGCGGTTTCTTTTACCCATCAAGAAGGGGTGCCAACTCCCACAGAGAACAGACCCATAAGGGTTAGCCTCAAACATGACAGACCAATTTGGGTGGGACATCGGGTCGGGTGGTTGGCTCAGGAGGGCATGCTGCGGGATACTGCCCGCAACGAGCCGTACCGACTGGCACTGGAGAAGGCGCTCCAGAAGATGCAGGGCGCCACCGTCATGGAGCGGTGAGGGTGGGCGGATGCCACGTGTACGGATACGCCACGAATTCTTTTAGATGGGTATGTGTCAAGGGGAAGCAACCAGCACCCGGGTCCCCAACAATTGCCTTTTCAACCATGTCCAAAATCCTATGTCCAACAATTGTTTAGATGGGAATGTGGGTGTGTCATATATTTTTTGAGGATCCAAAGAAAGGGTTTTCCTGTTGGTTCCCCCTTAAACCAAGAAAACAGGATTTCCAAAAACAAAGCACTCATGTCTGAAAATACGGGAACCCCCAACAGTACTGGGGTCCCAACAACTGTTTTTCCCATGTCAAAATTTATATTTACTGTCCAAAAAGCAGTTGTTGGCGGAGTGCTGGAACATGGTTTTTGTGTGTTCTTCGTTGTCCTTTTTTAGAAAGACCGAAAAAGGGTACCCGACCAAACATGCGGCAAAATGTTTGCCCCCGTTGAGGCTGGGCTTTTTGGGGTTGAAGGGAAACCACAGGAACATCACACTATTTAGGGAGCTACTGAAGGAAACCAACCCATATTTTAGTTAGCACCAAGACACAGTCAAGCGACTGACGACTCGGCCTTGATAGGGTTGCGGCGCTTGACGTGGAGAGCCACTCACCGCAAGGATGCGGAAAACATGTGTAACACTCTGCACAATTGTTGTGTGAACATGGAGCGTAAATAGTGGCGCTCTTGTTTGCTTCTTGCTGATATTGCTCTAGGATGTTGCCAGGACAGCCATTTGTGCCTGTGGAAACGTGCATGTGTCGACTTGTCACGATCCAAATGGTTTGGTTACAGATGGGCTCCTTCAAATTGCCGTTTTGAAAACACACACACGCACACACACACACACACACACACACACACACACACACACACACACACACACACACACACACACACACACACACACACACACACACACACACACACACACACACACACACACACACACACACACACGTGGTCGATTTTACACGAACCGGGCCATCTATCTGAATGCAGGACATCGGCACAGGGTCCGGGTTCTTGGCATTGCTGGCGGCGAAGTATGGTGCGGGCAAGGCGATTTGAGAATCCATCGCTAGGGAAAGCTACCCTCCCTCCCGCTCCTCAACAGCTTTTGTTTTCTGTTCTGTGTGTTTGCGTTTGCCAGACCAAAAACACATTTGATAAAGGCATGGAGTGGGCGTTAGATCATCCTTTGTTTTGAATCGTCCCTGGATGGAGAACAGTCCGATTTCAATTTGAGTGCTTGGATGCCCCTCCGCTAATCCTGCTTTGGTGCATTTTGCTTGGATGTTAGGACTTTAACTTTTTGCCAACTAATGGGTTTTCCGTAGTAAACCACTAAAAGTTAGTCACTTTTAGCAGGGCTTCGCAGATTTCGCCACCGAGCCTGGATTCGCAACCGTATGACGAACTTGACGGGGACTTTTCCAGAAGCTTCCAGAGTGCCTTTAACTCCCTCTCATGAGGTTCTTCGGGAGAGTCTCTTGCGCGAGAGAGTTCCTTGCCACGTGCACAACGACGAAGCCCCGAAATTTCCCGTGCCGATGTGGAAGTCGCTCAAATTGCCCCCAGAGATGCAACCGATTTCCACGGGTTTTTGTTGGTGTTGATGTGGCAAGACGTTGCCAGATGCCCAAGTCGGCGTCCCAAAGGCCAGCTGGCAACACTCGGCCCTGCTCTTGGGTTTGCTTTTCGGCCAGGGCAAACAAGTCGGTGTGGTTGCCCCAGATTGATGTTGCGCATTGTGCAGAATGCTGCACCTTGCCACTCCACTGGTGCCATCAATGTTAAGGTATAGAGAAGCACAATGTTGTTTTTTCTATCGAGGGATGTTCATTGCAACTCTGCTGCTTTTTTGCGAAGCCACCTGTGTAGAAGACGCAGGTAGCAGCAAAAGCCAAGAACTGATGGAAGGGCGAGAAACGTTGCATGACCTTTGAACCATTCTCTCAGGCACAGAAGCAGACCTAGCGGCCTCGGGGAACACAGTGATGGCGTTGTGTTTGTTGCAAAGGCGATGTATGGAGGTTGCCTTCTTCGGGGACACGGTTTGCTTGGCCTTCATTTAGGGGTCAACAAAAAATATCCACTAGGAGACGGCAGGTGTTAGTCTTTGGTCCCACCAGGGTCCATTTTCTTTTTTTGACCCACAATGACGAATCGCAAGGCAGCAGGCAGCAAATTGCGATGAAATGAGGCGTATCAGGAAATGCGTTACAGACTGTATGTTAGCAGACGGCGTTTCGACCGGGGAAGGAAGACAAAACACACAATATATTTTTTCTGGGGGTGTGCAACACTCAAGTTGGGGACACCCTAGAGAATTGCTTGGCTCCAGTCAGAGGGTAGACTCATTGTGTTGCATGTGCGACGGTTCTCTTGTCCCCTTGGTTGAGAAGGCAAGCATGAACCCTTGGAAGCAATGGCGCTGTAGGAGACGAGCAACCGAGTGGGAAGAAAGCCCTCCTACGGTCCCTGCCCTGCCAGTCATCACAACTCGGGCGGCGCAGGTTCCTCGGTTTCTTTGTGGGTTCCCCAGTCCGCTAACACGAATCGATTTTCCCTGGCTGGGAGGAGTCTTGGGCAGGCACACCCTGAACCTCGCCTTTTTTGTGCAGACTGATGACCGAGGGACCACTTCGCCCTGACAGACAAATGGGGGTTGCTCAAGAGGTCCTTTACATGGGGTGACCACTAGGGAAACCACCAACAAAGATAATGAAACCCATTAAATTCCCACCTTGCTCGCTTCAAGTGAACCAATGCTTTGTAACACCAGCGCCGCCGGTGTTTTCCCGTGCGAGAGTTTGGCACCGATGTGTTCCCTTTTGTTTGGCAGGTTTTGCAAATAGGGCTAAACACCCTCCCAAACAAAACAAAACAACAAACACACAACAAAGAAAAAACAACGGGGGGAACACACACGCACAACAAAACAACACAGCCAGACACAAACGCACAAAAATAGAATCATAACGCGCTACCCCATTCCCCCCCCCCCCCCAAACCCCCCCCCCGGTGTGCAGGTCTACGCCATTGAAGGCTCCCCGGAGATTGCACAGGTCGCCTCCAAGCTGGCGAGGGCCAACGGCTGCCTGTCGTGCCGGTTCAGTACGTTTTTGGGGGGCACAATGGGTACGGATCCGTTTATATTAGGCAGTGAATTTTTTTGAGGGGTCTGTAACAGAGCCGCGGCGGACATTCGTTACAGACCTCGTTACAGACCTCTGTAATAAGACCAGCTGGCTCGTTACACACCCCTCGTTACACACCCTCGTTACACACCCTCGTTACACACCCTCGCTACACACCCTCGTTACACACCTCAGATTCAGATGAACAAACCGGGCCAGTGACGTGACTGCCCTCTTTTTGCCGCAGCCTGGCTTGCGTTGAATAGCTGCAATCAGCTGGAGCTGCGGAGGCGCTTTGCGTACTGTGCTTTGCTTTGCCTCGCTACAGACCTCGTTACATAGCCGTTACATACCTCGTTACAGACCCAACCCCAGCCCGGGCCAGCGACCCTGCTTTTTGCCACAGCTTGGCTTGCGTTGAATAGCTGGTGCTGCAGAGGCGCGCTTTGCGTACTGCGCTTTGCTTTGCCTCGTTGCAGACCTGGTTACATAGCCGTCACATACCTCGTTGCAGACGCAAACCCAGCCCGGGCCAGTGACCCTGCTTTTTGCTGCAGCTTGGCTTGCGTTGATGCGCTCCTGATTCTGCTTGTCAGGAAATGCGTAACAGACCTGCGTAACAAGGACCTCCGTTACAGACCTCCGCAACAAGATTCGCGCCGCGTCGCGCGTTACAGACCCCTAAAAAAAATCATAGCCTATATATATATATACATATACATATTCATGTTTTTTGGTTGTTGTTGTTTTTTAATTGTTATTATTTCCTTGGGCTGTTTTTTTCTCCTAGGGCTGGGTTGGTTGGATGGATGGTTGGTTGGTTGGATGGTTGGCTTGCGCAGTGGGTACCCCGAAGCCTCAAACTACCCACAACACCGGGAGGCATTCACCAACCATACCCACAAACCGTGAATTCACCAAGCATCATGGGTTGCAAGAACTGATTCTTAAGGAAATTTGGAGGGGAGTTGGAGGGGACAATCCCATGCTGAGATTTATGTACAGTTGGTATGGCAAACATGTCACACATGCAAGGGAATCATACTAGCCCTCTTGGATGAAGGAAAAAGGGCCCGCGCCATTGAAGGGTAGCGGAGCAGAGCTCCAGATCCAGGGGGCCTCTGTAAGCCCTTATAAGCCACAGCGGCGAAGGCGAGGTGGCAGACACAGAAAGACCCGCAAGGCGGCCTAGGCTAGGTTTGACTCGTCAGTGCAGCCATGGATGGTGCTCAGCAAGCTGCAGGAACTGGTGTGGGTGCAGGCAGACCATTGATCGACGCCCGAGCACTTGGGAAGCTGAGATCATTTTCTGGAAAAGAAGAGGACTGGCCTACATGGTCCTTCGTTGCAAGAGGCTACCTCAACATGCTGGACATACGCTACAGAACCCTTTTGGAGGTGAGTGAAGGCACATCCCACTATTCAGACAGTTCATTTGCAGACCTCACTGATGAAAATGAAGATTTGGCTTCAGTACTGTTTAATTTACTGGTACAATGCGAGTATGGCCGAGCTTTGCAGATCCTCATGAACATCGAGCCTGGAAATGGATTTCAAGCCTGGAAAGCTTTGAAGGAGAATTATGAACCAAATGTTGGAGGCAGATTCACTGCCATGCTCATGGGTATCATCAGCCCAGCCTGGGAGAGTGTCAAGGAGCCTGACTTTATGGATGCGTTGGAAAGTTGGGAAGCGCAAGTGCGCCGCTATGAGGAGCAGTCTAGGGATGCGATTTCTGAGACTACGAAGGTGGCCATTATTATGAAACACGCACCACCTGCTTTGAGAAGTTTTATCAGAACAGCAAGCACACAACTTGGCACATCCTATGAGAGGACCAAGAAGTACGCCAGAGACTTTTTGCAGAGTGGCCTTCCTTTCAGTTCCACAGGCAACACAGCTGCAGAAGATGGTGGACCGACAAAGGGAAGGACAAGCGCAAGAGCAAGGGCAAGGGCAAGACAAAGTCCAAGTACGACCGTGATGGCAAAGGCAAAGGCTACAGCAGCAAGAAGTTCCAAGGTGAGTGCAGCCACTGTGCAAGAAATCAGAGTGCCACAAGTTGGCCCGTGAGAGAAAGGGCAAGGGCAAGTCCAAGGACAAGAACCACAGCGGCTGCTACATCTGGAGGAACCGGAGCTGCAGATTCAGCCACCAACGCAGTATACTATGACATGGCCGCGAATGATCAGGCACAGAACAGGAACATGGAGAAGGACAACTTCACCTACTTGCTCTGGTCTGGGATTCTGGTAGTCATGAGCATCTTTGCAAAAGTGATTTTGGAGGTGGAGGAAACCAACAGGACATTGCGTGGTATCTCAGGTGAAAGCCTGGGCAAGCTCTCCAAGAAGTGGGTGAATTACAAAGTAGTTGCTGAGGAGGGACAGTTCATGAACGTGGCAACCAAGTTCCTTGTGAGTGACTATGCAAGCAAGAATGGCCTCAGCGCAGGAAAGTTGCGAGCCACAGGATTCACAGTGGTGATGAGCAATGAGGGCAACTACTTGGTGCATCCCAACTTCGCCTACAAGATCCCGCTCTTCCTCTACAACAACTCGTTGAGGAGAGAGACGCTTTTGTGGGAGGCCTTGGCAGCCAGGACGACTGGGAATATGCTGGAGATGGCAACCCTGAGGAGCAGATGGAGTATGAGATGATTGCATTGCCAGACGAGTTCAACCAAGATGAGGCTCCTGCGAGAAGAGAAGGAGCGCCCTTGAGAGCATGGAGCAAAGTTGCAGACTTGAGGGAAAGACTTCGAGAGTTGAAGGAGCCGATCTATGGTGACAAGGAGACGTTGTGGAGAAGGCTGAGAAAAGCAGAGGCCGAGTTGGCAAGGAGGAGAGCTGCTGCAAGAGACTTCCAAGCGCAGCAGAGTGAAAGGCAACAGTCTTTGAGAGAAGGGAGAGCTGGACCACCACCTGCTGTCCCAGCACCACAAGCACCTTCATGCTGCCTGCTCCAGCCAAGGTGCGAGTTATGCACCCGAGGCCAGGGAGCGGATGCAGCCCACAGAAAGAGGACCATGAGAAGCTGCCACTTCAAGCTGGACTGCTCGTTCCTGAAGACTGACACAAGTCTGGCAGCAGCCTTTAGTGCTGTCAGTGGTGGACACTGGAACTGGAATGGCTTTGGCTTTGAGCATTCCGGGCGCAGTTGGGCTACCCCGTGATCAAGATGAGAACTGATGGAGAACCAGCAATCAAAGCAGGGGCAAGGAAGATTGCTGCAGCCGTGAGAGAAGGGAAAGCTCCAGGAGCAGCAGGCGTCAGAGTGATCATAGATGAAGCCTCGAGGTACTCATCACAGACTGGGCAACATGGGAGCATTTCAGAAATTGCTCAGGGTAGGTGTGCTGACACTTCGCTATGCAGTGGAGGCCGAGAACGGCAGGACCCTACACACTTCACACAATGTTTGGCCTTGGCCCTTGGCTTGTGAGATGGGCAAGTTTCCTGAGGAACCGCTTTGCTGTGAAGGCAAACCGTTTTGCGAGACCGTGATGTTCAAGACACCGATGAGCAAGACCAGGAGGACACGCGGGAGACAGCAGGGAAAGGCAACAACGCGTGGGAGAAAGGTTTGTTCCTGGGACGCACTGTGACGTCCAATGCCTCCTGGGCGCCAAGGACGGAGTTTTGACGGCAAGGGCTGTGAGGAGATTGGCAGCTGGACAACGCGCAGACCAGGACTTGTTTGACGCGGTGCGTGGAGTTTCGTGGGGCACTGGAACTACAATAGGACGACCCAAGAAAATCGAGGTCGGGATGGCTATCCCGAAGCCGGTTGAGACCGCGGAGGACAAGAATGCAGATGAGGAGCAACAGCAGCAGCAGCAAGATGAGCCATCTTCAGATGCGGAGTGCCTGCTGATCAGAGAGGTAACGCACCGATAAACGTCGAGAGTGAACCTGCATTGGAGGAGACCACTCAGAAGGCAGCCCAAGCAAGAAGCTCAAAGTAGAGGGTCAGTCGGCCAACGCGCTCTACAGCCCCACGGAGGAGGTTGAGTTCGAAGATGAGTTGCAGATGGCGGGAGGCAACTGGGACAGTGATGATGAAGACGTGGAGGAGTCCAAGCCGCTCACAGAAGAAGAGATCTATGCTGGTAAGCAAGTGGAGCTCGAGAAGATGGAGCGCTATGGTGTCTACAAGGTTGTGAAATGGGAGAGACGTATGAAGCTGCTGGACGCGGTTTGGGTCAACACACGCAGGCCGGATAAATCCGTCAGGCGCCGCTACTGCGTGAGAGAGTTCAAGAAAGGTGACCCCAGGACAGACGTCTTTGCAGTGTTCCAGCACTTCTACGTCAAGAGCCACAGCAGATGCGGAGAATGCGTTTTGGCAAGTTCCTATCACAAAAAAGGCCTACATGAAACCTCCTAGGGAGTGGCTTGACAACTGGATTGCGAATGGTGGAGATCCCAATGTCGTCTGGGAGTTGCTGAAGGAGTGGTACGGACGGAGAAGGACAGGCATTCGTTGAATGGGCCGCCAGCCATTTGGGCAGTGAAGGCATGCAGAGATGTCACGCAGCGCCGTGGTTTTTTCATGGCCCCCGTCCGTCAAGGACATTAGCATGAAGGTTCACATGGACGACCTCTACGGCACCGGACCCAAGAAGGCGTGCCACGAGCTGGTGGAGAAGCTCAAGGAGAAGATTGTCATGAAAGCGGAGTTCCATGAAGGCGAGTGCGAGTTCCGTCACTTGAAGCGCAACAGGAGGGTGACCAAAGAAGGCATCTTCCTCACTCCAAGATCGAAGGAAGCTGTATGAGATGGAAGATTGCAGAGGGTGCCCAACACCTGATGTGCAGTCTGAGGTGGATGATGGACAGCCCCCCTTCGACTACTGGGAGAGCAAGAAGTACTGCACTGGAGTTGGACTGGCTTTGTACTTGTCCTATGACCGGGTTGATGTGCAGTATGCAGTGCGGGAATTGGCCAAGGACATGAAGCAGCCTACAACTGAAAGTTTGCGCAAGATGAGAAGGCTTAGGACGCGGTTACCAAGAAGTGGTGAGTTGGACATCTATTCAGACACAGACTGGGCAAATTGCAAGAAGACCCGCAAGTCGTGTGCGTGTAGCATTTTCATGGTTGGAAATCGCTTGGTGTGTTCCTATGCCTTTGTCTTCAGCTGAGGCAGAGTTCAATGGAGGAGTTGCAGCATGCAGTGAGGGACTTTTCTTGGTGGAAGTTTTCAGATTCTTCGGCATCAAGCTAGACATGACTGTCTACCTGGACAGCAGTGCGGCCAGGGGGGTCTTCCAGAGGCAAGGATGCGGGAGGATCAGACACCACAAAGTCAAGAGTTTGTGGGTTCAGAATGGTTTGTAGAGGAAACTGTTCAAGCTGAGAGCCGTGCCTAGCGCAGACAACCTTGCAGATTGTGGCACAAAAAAGGTTTGCCAACAAAGAGGTTTGTGGAGCTCATACAGAAGCTCAATGGGACCGTTTCAGGCAGCGACACACGTGAATGCAGTTCAGGAGATCAGAACCAACAACGCAGCAAGCAGGTTCTGATTGCAGCATTGGTCAACTTGCTGAGCATGGCGGAGGGTAAGACCATCAAGCAAGACGAGGAGGACAGTGGCACAAGTTGGAGTGATGTTTTCATCATCTGTTTGTGCGTGATTGGATTCATCAAGGTTTTGGTGGATTTCAGCAGAGGCATTTGCATGGCTTGGGCCTATGCAAGGTGCATTACAGGGTCATTGACAAGACCCAAGCAGAGTGCGAATTCGGTGACAACGATTTGCTGTTGAGTGGAAGTGGAGGTGTGATTCATATTGCACCTACAGGCAAAGTCTACCACACCCACAGGAATTGCAAGCGCATGAAGGCAAAGAGGGCTTGAGCATCAACAGCGGGCGCACCAAACCAGTAACCCCGCTGAGGGGGCTGCTGAGATTTATGCACAGTTGGTATGGCAAACATGTCACACATCCAGCCACAAATGGGTGTGGATAACTATCTGCCTTTTCGATTCGTTACATGGTTCTGGGAGTACCATTCAATACCGGGTTTTGATTATGGCTCAACTGGGTACCCTTCTGTGCACGTTGCCATGGCACCCAAAGGGTCCGTTTTGAAGGAAAATGGTCCAAACCAGACCTGGTAGGTTCCATGTTGGTGGACTCGATATGTGTCTGTGGGCAATCGTGAACAAAGACGCGCGCACTGTTTTGCAGCCATTGGGATGTACAAACAGCTTTTCCAACATGTTGCTTGCCGAATGCATTTGCCACGTTGCCATGGAACCTGACGTCGCGGGGTCCTTGAAGAGAAGACAGTCTTTAAAAGGAACCCTTTGGTGGGTTTCATGTTAGTGGACGGGAGATTACCTTGTTTGGGTTTTTGGAAGTTGGAAGGGGAACCACAAACAATAACCGCCCATTTTGTGTGTCCAAATCCAAATGTATGTGACCGTTCCGGAAACCTGGCGCAACCACCAAAGCTACGACCTTCACCGCCTGGGAAACGTGATCCATGGTCAACTTGGGGCCAGGAAGATCGATCAGCCCCATGTTTTTTCACGATAATTTTCAGAGTTGGCCCCCCCCCAAAAAAAAAACAAGCAGTAGTTAGTCAGCCTGAACCCCCGCCGAACTCTGATTTTTCTCAATTGGGGTCCCCAAACAAGATTTATGTGGTCTCAAACTGGTGGGACCGGCCCCCATGGATTTCGGTCCGTCAGGCAACCTTTGGAACCAGCGCAGGCTCCCTTGGTTTGAACCCCGGGGGGGGGGGGTATTGAACCATGTTTCAAGGGCTCAAGCCTGGCCCCCGCTCAATACGGTGGGCATCGCGAAAAATCTTGGCTGTTAGAACGGGACTAAATGTTCTACGTTTGAGACTGGTTAGACCATTGCACGGGTCCATTGGGGATGGTCACAAGAAAGACGCCTCATGCGACGGCGTGAGCGCCATTTTTGGTGTCGGGGCAGTTTCCGTGGGTGATGCCTGGGTGAAATTTGACTGCTATTGGGCCAGATCTTTAGGCTTGTTATTTCCATTGAGCCCACAAAATGTTGTTCAACTTCTTGCAGAGGGGTCGACGGCACCAATAGGGGGGTGTCCCCTTTTAGTGGGATTCATCACTTTTAGAGGGAACATCCCCCCAACAATGGGCTTAGGGTTTGTTAATCCTGGGTCAGCATTAAGAGACCTCGTTTGGGTGGTTGATCCTTTGGACAAGTCCGCGCCGGGACCAGTGCTGTGAGCGAGTAAGGCTTCGGAGCGGTGGTGGAGGTGATCCCAAAACACCTCGAGGAGATCACGGAGCAGGAGACTTTATGGAGGAAATACGGTGCTAGGTCCCCCAGCTAGGTGCTCTTTTTAACCTCTGTATTGGTTGGCAGGGGTTCCCCTACTAAGATAGACTGCAGAAAAAAGTCGGTACCCTTATTCTAACCTCTGTACTGGAGGACCTAGGGTGGATGGTTGCGAGTCATCCATTTCGCACCATGAAATGAAGCCATGGTTGAACCAAGACGTTTGTTCAGGTATTTTAGAATCAAATAATTCCACGGGTTTCTGAACGGTGGTGAGAAGTGGATTTCGTCCATCCAAAGAATGGTGGGTGGGTCCCAACGCCAAAATTGATCCCCTCGGTATGTATGTGAATGCAGGCCCTTCATGGTTTTTAGACCCCAAGGCCAACATTGAAACACCCAATAGAAAGTGGAGGACATTCCACTGGCAAGCGTGGACATCATCGTCTCCGAGCTGTTCTCCCACTTCCTGGTGGGGGAAGTGGGGCTGCAGGCTGGAGAGCTGTCGGGAGCTTGGGCTTCGCTGCATGGAAACGTCCAGGGTGAAGTCTTGGAGATGCAGATTTCCATGTCAATGGTGGGTTTCATAGAAAGCACAATGTCTCGCAGTTCCGTTACTTCTATGGCAGTCACTGGCACCAGCAGAGCCGCCTTCGGCGCCAGCCTAGAAATGCGAGTCTTAGGATGTTTTGACCTGTTTCCGTCGCCAGGTTGACCACACCTCGTGGAGCCTCTGAAAATTGAATGGCTAGCAGCAAGCGAACATGACATTCAGCACCCTTCCATTACAGCAAGATTGAGGAAATCGCTTCTGCTGCCATACAATGGATTTGCTTGGGCTTCCGACTTCCTCTATCCTTGACACATGAGGTCATGTACCCTGGCCTATCAGTACATTATTTGTAAGCGGTATCCAAGACTCCGGGTGTCCGAGTACCTTGCTTATGGTGCTCCCATCGGCCATGGGTTGCGCCATTTGTCAACCTTCCACATTCATGTTATGATTGTGATCTGAGTGTTTTTTGGATTTCCCCCCCCCCCTAGCGAGCAGCAAGAGCACTATGACCGTGTTGGGCCAAAAAGTATGTTGAATGGGACAAGGTTTAACAACCCAACGTATACCCTCAAAAAAGACACCAACGTTTACCCGGGCTCCGAGTCACTCGCAGGTGGTCACCGAGGCCAAGCGATTTCTGAAGCCCAAAGGCCTTGTGCTGCCGCAGGAGGCGGTATTGAAACTGGCGCCGCGGCCGATTTCCATGCAGATGGCGTTGCATGGTTGCTGTTGGGAAACATGTTACATTTTTGCTTATTGTGGTTTAGTGGTTGAACTAAATTCACTTAAATGCTAAAAAATAAATGTTTGCTCCCGTTCCAACGTCAACCAAGGTTGAGCTTCTATATTTGCCAGACTTCGTTGGACTTGGCCTGGTGTTTTGGTCTGAGATGCCAGCTACAGGCATTTTCGTTAGCAACCCACCCACCAAACACAAGGTGTTCGTCCATTTTAGAAACGCTCCATCAGGGTGCTGCAGGACTTGTATTTTCAACGCAAGCCCTGCATGCTTTGCCAAAGGCCATCTCAAATTTGCCCGTCCCAAGCGCGCCTCAGCATTTCGCACGCGCCTGCCTTGCCAACAGCAGACTAAGACACCGCTCAGGCCCCATCCCAGCCAATCTTCATGTGACAAAAGCTCCGTGAGTTGAGGCCTTGGGACATGGTGTTCGATTTGTTGGATTCCTTTTTCCCCCAAACAATCAACCGGAAGACTTTGGGTTCCCCCACCCAAAGAGGGGGGCCGACCCATTTTGAGACACGCCCAGCACCATAGGTGTCCTTTTTGGTTGTTTTGGTGAAGAAAATAGATGGCACTAGTTTACCTGGTGGTTGAATCATCTACCAGGGAAACCCATCTATTTCCCCTAAAAGGGACACCCACGCCCATCCCATTCTGCGCTCGACACAAATCATCCCCGCGCTTTGAAAGTCTGCGCCGGCGCCTGAGGCGCCCTTCGAAGACGCCCAGCTCGGTGCCGAACTCCGTGGCAGACACAGCTTTTGGCAGACCAAGGCGAGGGAAGCGTCGAACGGGTGCTGTTTTTTTTAACGGAGGCGCCCCCCCCCCCCCCCGGTTTTCGGGGATTTGGGTTTCCTCAGTTCCTGAGCTTATGGAAACTTTAGGCATTTTTGGGAATTGGTTGCCCTTTTTGATGCTGAGAACCAACCAGTTTGGTTACTTTTGTTGGGCCCTCAGGAAGTGAGACTGGCTACTGTGTTTTGCTTCGAAGGGGAATTCAAAAGGAATCACCACGTAGCAAACGTGAAGCTTCAAGCTTTTGATGTGTGGTTTCCAAAGCTACATTGCCATTGTGGGGTCGGAAAGGGGAAATCAAAGAAGAAAACACATGAGGTTCCATGTGGTGCCCTATTTTAATACCCACCCTTGGATGCTCGAATCACACTTGCTGGCTACAGGGTCCCCTTTCTTGGCGTTGGGTGCATGTATCGAGGGCTTTATTCTCATGATTTGCTCCGCGCTTCAGTGGTGTTCGTTGTATTGGCTCGTCGTCCTGTTTGGGCAAGACTTTCGCCATATTTCCGGTTTTCGTCATCTCAAGTATAGCATAAAGGGACATACTGCGGGGGAAGCTTGTGGTTGCGTTTGGATGGGCCTCTCAAAGCAGGTCGACCATAGAGCCAACTTTCAGACCTTTTTGACATTGTTTTGTGAACCGTTCTGGTAGGTGTTGAAAACTTCCAACATGGAAGTCCATGTTTGAAGTCGGAACTCGAGGTTTGTTGTGCATAGAGGTGAACCTCGGTTTTGTTTGACACTCGAAGTGGGTGCTGCTCGCAAAGTGGTTGGTATTGCTGTTTCATGTTGTTCGACTATGATGCTCCTGCCACAGATGACCATTTCAACGGAGTTGCTGGACGGACTCCTTGGGTGTTCAGCCAAGCTAGAAAGTTGTTGGTAACCGGGGTGACAACCCACTTATAAGTCCCCCGTTCCGTGGGCTTCACCTTGGGGGTTCTACAACCCAGTCGAAGCACAGACACGAACTTGGCGTATCGAACATCCATCCGAGTTTTGGGGGCTTCAGGTTTCAGTTTTCAGCTTTGGTTCACCTCTTTTCCAGGGTCTTCCTTCTCAAGTTGTTGTTATTATTATTTTACTTCCCGCAAAAGGGTGGGGAAAACACGGCTTGAGCGCAGTTTCATGGAAAGTTGGATTTGAAAGCTTCTGACTTCCAGCCAGCACCCGGGTCCCAACTGCTTTTTCAATCAGACCGCCAAAGCCAAAATCCCCCCCCCCCCCCCACCCCTCCCTCCCCCACTCTCCACCCTTCCCCCCTTCCCCCTCCCTCTCCCCCCCAGGTACGGCAACCCAAACAGCAGTGGTTGCAGTTGGGCCCCTGGGCCCCTGGGCCCCTGGGCCCAGGGGGCCCCGGGGCCCGGGGCGCCGGCCGATCGAGAGAGCGACTCTCAGGACTTCATGGGCCTCGACCTGTCTCCGGCGCTGGCGATTGCGGAAGAGCAGCTGCTGAAGGAACCCCCGGGTTGCAACCTTGGAGGGGGGGGAAGGTTTTACAAAACTGAAGAACTTGGGGGCGGAACCATGACCATAGGCCATGGGAATAGTTAGCAAAGCCAGTATAGTCAGAAGAGCATAACCGCCCAACCCATGTTGAGTAAATCGAATACTTAGACCAGTCAGAACGATGATTGATCAATTCAAATTCATAGCCTCCGGGGCCACAGCCAGGAGCTGGTTCTGGACATCGTGGCTCCGGAGCAGCTGCTGCTGACGGCGCAGCAGGCGCCCCAGGAGAGGCTGGATTTGGTGACCCCGGACGACCCAGACGTGTGGCGGAAGATGAGCCGCTCGGGACTCGCGCGCGTGAAGCGCCGAAAAAAAACGCGGAAGCTCGAAGATTTCTTCCATTTGGTGAAGAATATGCTTTCTTGTTTTTCCCCCTGTTGGTTTTAAAGGGAATCTATCACTACTGGAAATATGTTTCTTTTTGCAGGGGACTTAAGGAAATGGAGGTTTTGGAGGTGAAGCAAGAAACCAACCAAAGGACGGCGTCCTGTTTGGACAAGACATGGGTCTATGACATTGCTTTGCCAGGCGAATGGTCATCCATGGCTCTGTTTTGGATGGTTTCATTGTGCACGGCCGACAATGGTTTGTTGAAGGGGGTCAAGAGTTTATCACCCCGCATGTTAAAATGATGGCCATTCGCCGGATGTGCTTTTGAAATACATCCATAGGGTCTGATATATGGGCGGCGGCATAACCCTATTGCCCAACTTGCTGAAGGGACGACTGCGGAGTTCCCGGACTTTCGTCACTTTTCGCGAAGACCTTTGACCATTTTAGTGGTCAATAAACAGTTTGGATGTTTTTGGGCCATCCACTCGGGAAGTGGGCAGATACAACAGGTAATTCATGTTTGTTGTTTGTTGTCCACTCACTTGCAGAGCGTTCTGGGACGGCCCATAAAACATGACATGCGATTGCCGAAGATATCTAAGACACAGCTCCAAGAGCATTTGCCTCACTCAAAGCACCCGCCGCGGATTCTTCTCAAAACTTCAGTTGCGACCGGATCTGGTTTCTCCTTTTTGGAGTTCCCAGTCTTAGTCATGGCCCCAAGAGGTTGTGTGGTCGGTGCCCCAAAGGGGGCAACTGAAAAACAGAAAAGCAAAAACAAAAAAAACGCGCCCCCAGGCTTTGAGCTCGTCTTCCCGCCCCGCGAGCGCGATGCCCTGATTGACGGCCTCTGCGGCTGGTGGGATGTCATCTTCTCGTCGCCGGAGGGTGAGACGTACTCGGTGCTTTCCACGGGCCCGGACGCAGCCCCGACTGTGCGCGAACCTCAGCTTGTCAACTTCACGGTTGGCATGTGAGGAGGTTTTGAGGTGTGTTGGTTCTGTCCATGTTGTTTTTGTTGGTTTTATCTATTGTTTTTGGTTTAACACATCTTGCGGGCTGCAAAATACATGTGCAAGATACCATGTCAAGGAAGCCAGAAGGAAGCCAACTGGTTGCGGCTCCCTGCTTTAGCAAACACCGTTTTGTGGACGCACTTGCCCTTACACGTATGGAAGCTGGCATGGGGGGGCTGGAAGATGATCAGTTTGTTGCTTTTGGGCCATTCCGCGCTTGCCCGCTGGCTCAGTACGTGGCTCTGCCGGTATCGGCAGTCCTTGCGACGGAAGCAAAGAGCAAAGAATGTGGCAACCAGGGCTCAGACTCAGGTCGGAGCAACCAGAAAGACCTGCATGATATCTTTAGTTCTTTCCATGTCTCTGGGCACTGAGTCATACCATTGACATTCCAGTTTTGGCAAGCAACAGCAACTGTCAAGCCGGGCGAGCAAAGAGCCGATTCACCCATAAAGAGTTATGTGCACTTGTAGTGTTGACTATCAATCGACCAACATGCGTCCTACAATACTGCTTGCCCCCCACAATATGTCCTTGTTTGTGGCAAGATGCAATCTTACTAAACTTGAATTTGCCTAGGATAATGCCAACAGATATGATGGAAAGCTATATTCAATTGTTGGATTGCATGTGTTTGCTTGTGGCTTGACCGTTGATTTGTTCCTTGGTATGCCGGGTGTTTCCCATGCCCGAGCTCCTTCGAGTGCCCTCCCCATTTGGCTTTTTGCGTCGGTTCCAGTTTGGTTTGATCTGACTTGCCTAACCTTTCGCGACTTCTGCCTTGCCCTGTTGTTTGTTGTTCGTGCTTTTCCTCCCAACAGCTGAAAGCTACTGGGGTCTTTGCTCAGATATCCTCTGGGCTGGTTTGGCAACTTTCAGGCAGAGTTCTGGAAGGGTTCCGGAAGGGTTCCGGGGCTGTTGAGGATGCCTGGGCTTATTTTCTGTACGGCAGGTTTGTCCCTGATGCCCCCAGCAGTTTGCAGTGCTTTTGTGAGGATTCTCTGTCTCTTTTTATTATCAGAATGGCGGCATCGATCCTGTCAATGTGTGACACGGGCCTATCTTGACTTGTGAAAGGGTCAAGTCATTTCACATTCTCAAGCAATCATTTCGTGAAGGGACGTGTTTAGCCTGCTGGTTTGATCGTTTTATCCCAAGTTCCCCGATGAAACCGGCAGCTCTGACCCTTTGAGCTGGCGCCAAACGCGCGTGCTTCGAGTACCTCAGGTGGGCTCAGTGCCGCTTCCTGTTGCACAAGCCCATGCGCCCCTCGGCTTCTGGGGCTTGGCGTGCGATTTTTTTTTCGATGGAGAAATGGAGGGGGAACAGATAGCAAGTTATCCCGGAAGTTGTTAGGTGCAATTCCAATGTACCCTTCCTAACATAGCACCGAGGGTACCTGGAAGATCAATTTCCTCAAGGGACCCTCTGTCAGGTGCCATGTTAGTGGGAGGGAGGGTAGGCGATCAGTCGACTGCGATCGACTGCGAAAGCACATCTTCCATCGGGCATCCCGAAAAACATCTAAGGTGACAAACATTCGGCTACCTGTAACTCTCGAGACCTGCATGTGCCACATCTCGATTTACTCACTTCATGAGTTCCTGGACTTTATATACACTTTGGGAAGACCATTTTAGTGGCCAACAAAAAAATCAGACTCTTTGTTGGCCCATCCGCTTGGGAAGCGAGCTTTATTTATGCGGTGAAGGGAGATTTGAAAGCCTTCCAAGAGAGGGCCTCTGGATAAAAATGTGAGGTGCTGCCAAGGATGATGTGCTCAATGTGAAGTGCGAGCTGAAGAGCCACAAGGAACGAGAGTCCTACTCCTTGCAGATGCTGCTGCGTAGCTTGGCACTGGAGACTCGGATCTCTTTCTTGGAATGTTTGTCTTTGTTTTGCCGCACTGCTGTAAATCGTCTTTTGTTGGGCATGTAAGGCCACACATTGTCAATGATGCTGATGCGCGCATGCATGTGCGTGTGCGCGCGTGTTTGCGGGTGGGTGCATTCGTGCGCGCGTGTTTGCGGGTGGGTGCATGCGTGTGCGCGCCCCTGCCTGCCTGCCTGCCTGCTTGCACTTTGTAGTTTGCGCGTCTACGTCAAATCACCTGCAGTTGATGTCCGACCAGGACCCTGTTCATTTTGCCCACATGTTCTTAGCAAAATGATGAGGGCATAAGTGAAGAGGTCGTTTGGATCAAACGAAGGGTCCCTTGCGGCTTTTTGGGTGTGGGTCAAAATCAAACAGGAGGGGCTACGCAGGTTTTTGGTCCATGTTTCCACTTACAGGGCAACCCATTTCGGGGAGCCTTTTCCAGGCAACGAGACCAGCAAGATGCAGAGCCGAGTGGGCCCAGTGGAGCTGAGCAATGTCTATGCCAGGCGCGGCGCTTGCCTTTTGAAGCTGCGCACGAAAGCCGTGGGGGGCGTTAAAATTTCCGAGTTGCCCCCCAGCAATTGGCGCCAACTTTTACCCAACTTTTTGCGGGAGGGTTCCCCTACTAAAATAGACTACAGGAGAAAAAGTTTGTACCAAATGATTCTAAGCTCTCAAATCTGGAGGACCTAGTTTTGCATGGACTGGGTGGTGATGTACACGGAGTTCTGGTCCACCAAGTCATTGGATGTCATGGATTTCTGGTGTTTGTTTCGGTGGGATGCGGCGCCTGACGGTTTTGTTGATGCTATTCGATGGAAATCAGGAGAGAACTTGAACGTTCACAAGAGTGCCATCGAATAGCACTTTGCGCTTTGGATACCTGGTATGGCCGTCGAATTTCCACATTGACGGAAGCCAGCCGCAAGAAGATTTGCTGAACGGGGTTGCTACCCAATCCCCAAAGATTTCCGACTGAGCTCTGGGCGAATTGGGCCAACCATGCGATGTTTTATTACAGCTTTCCGAATCCGCTTTTTTCTTGCACAGACTGTCGTGCATTTCCAGGTGAGCCACAATCAAAACCTGGGTAAATGAAGGTTAGTTAGGAACGATCCCAACCATGAATAGCTACGGCCGCCTTCTTAGTTCTTTACATGGTTCTGGGTGCACCATTTTTGTACCGGGTTTTGATTATGACTCAGGTGAATGGGATGAATGCTTGTGCCAGGCATTTCGCTCGTGCGAACCCCTTCCCCTACGAGACCTGGAGCAGCACCTGACGGGAGGAAAAAGAAATCGACCGAGCGGAAGACGCTGATTTTCTGATGCGGGCTCACTGAGACGTTTGCTTTGGTGCTTTTTGCTTGGATGTTAGGACTTTAACTTTTTGCCAACTAATGGGTTTTCCGTATTAAACCACTAAAAGATAGACTTTTAGCAGGGGAGCAGAAAGCAACCGAGTTTGGAGGTTCGGTGAAACTTTCCTGCGGTGCATGAGGGAGTGACAGCCAAGGGACTCACAAAAAAGGCCATATCTTTTCGGGCACCAAGCATTTTTGACCCTGACTGATGCCTGTTTTTGGAACTGTTTGTTCCAGCAGTTTTTGGGGGCAATTTAAGTCACCGCACTTTGCAGTTGATGATTGCATGTGTGTGTGTGTGTGTGCGTATGGACATGGTGCAAATCAACAACGTTGTTTGTGTTTTCGTAGCCACTACAAGCTATGTCATTTCGAGCTAAGACTTAGCTTTGACTCGGGCGACTGTGTTTGTCTCTTGAACCTGTTGAGCTGTTGGCGGGTGCCCTGCCAACATGGTGAACAAGTCTTCATGAACTTTGAACATTTTTCGGAAGACTATTTCACTGGAATACACATTGTTCGGACGTTTTTTGGGCCATCCACTTAGGAAGTGAGACAGGTGTTTCATACTTCCAAACAATTTATTGTTGACAGCAGTGTTAGAGCAATCTTGAGCAACACAGAGCTCTGTGGGAGCCGAGCAGTCTCTTCTCTCAAAATAGTCAGTTTTATTCATGACCAATTCTCACTGCACTGTGTTCAGGCCATGACCGGGCAGCCGGTGAGCCAGCGCTAGCCTGGAATTCAGGAACTGGTTTCTGGGGTCAAGTCGGCAGTTGGAACTCGTCATGTGCACCGGCACTTGGGAGCAACAAGAATCCAAAGAAGTCGATAGCACTTCTGACCATTCGAAGCCTCGGCGCTGCAGGACAAAAGTGGCATGGAACATCATCGTTTGGGCTTGCCAGTTTCTCGGTGTTTGCTGATTTCTTAGGCACGCCTACAAGGCCGTTCTTTCGTACTCCATTGATTGTTCTCTTATTTGCTCTTAGGGATCCTGCATGGCCTTCTGTGCCAGTTATGGGTGTTGGCCAATCCGCACTATCATGATGTCTCACCAGTCCGACGCACACAAGTGCCATTGCCTGAGTGCACTCGATTGAGTGCCTTGCAATCGCAGTGTTGCCTAGCTTCCCTTGCTTTTCTATGCACAGCCCGACGCGGCTGCAGCAACAGCATTTGTTGCCCCCTGTTCGCACAGTGATTGGACAATGCCTCGTTCGCGAGTCAAGACCCTTCCAAGCCATTGCTCCAATGCCCGAGACCTTCAGTTTCGCCGTTGGCGTCTTTCTTAGCACACATGAAATCTCGCCTTCAAGGGAAACCACAAGAGAATCGATGTTTTTTTTTCTTTTTCAGACTCCCTATGTGAGTTTTTGGTTTTTTGGAGAGCACCCCTTTTTTGGCGGTTTCAAAGCGAAACCAACAGGAGAACCATGTTCTTTTTGTTAGTATGGGGAGGGGGGTCCCCTTAAAAAAGACACCCCTCTAGCCCCAGTTCCACAGTTTTGGGCTGGTATGCCCTGCTAGCTCACGTCAGCAAGGAGCTTTGGCCAGTGGAAAAGCGCGCGGTGGAACCAGCAGCTGGTTGTGGCACAGTGAAACCGAGCCACGTCCTCAAAACCCAGGTAGAGGGGTGCGTTTTGCCAAGGGATGTTAGGACTTTAACTTTTTTGCCAACAAATGGCTTCTCCATTAAGCCATTGAAAGTTAAACTTTTTCAGGAGAGCAGAAAGCAGCCGAGGGTGGATGAAGGTTAGTATACGAATCCCAGCCAGAAATGGGTGCCTTTGCCGCCTTTTGTTTTCAAACAGAGGTTCTGGGTAGATGGCTGTGGCTAAAAAAAAGAAGTACCCAAAATGGTGCCTTGGTATATGGAAGCAAAGGCTAGAACCTGCGTAACCCCACCTGTTCAATTCTGAGCCACACCCAGATCATTGCAACACCAGGTTTTGATTGTGACTCAACTTAGTCTGCTGCAACCAGTTTGCCACTTCTTGATCATGCATGCTGGGGGTTGGGGTTCGGGCATGGCCATGGGCCTTTCCTTTGGATTCAGGTGGCACTGGTTGAAACATCAGTGCAACAACGTCAGAGGCAGCGTTGGTTGTGGTCTCTGAGTTTGTTTGCGGGCCTTGCAAGGACAACTGAAAGAATCAAGTGAGCAGAACATCTTCATTTCAGCTTCATCTTTCAGTTTTGGCGCAGTGCTGTGAGGCAAACATGCATATTAAAATGCCCATTTCGTCTGCAAATGAGACAATCAACCATGCCCAATCACAATGCATCGGGCTGTTGGTGAGAACAGGTTACTGTCGCCAGCGAACAAGAGATGGGTGTGGTCCAAAATGGAGCCCTGAATGTAAATGGACAGGTAGACCAAAACCTGCGGTTTACTGATATTGAGCCAGACGCAGCTGAGGCCTGCCCTTTCAAGCAACTACAACATTGCAGTCTTTGGCACAAACCACACAAGTTACCCAGTGTTTATGAGAACGTGGCGGCCGGGGTGAAGGTTCCTCTCTTAGGAGTCCATTTTATGTGTGTTTTTTTTGTTCCCCAACTCGCTGCTTCGGATCGATCGGAGGCTGCCAGCATCGAGGCCGTGAGTACTTGGCCAATGTTCTTGCAGCTGCCTCCTGAAATCCACTAGAGACCACGCCAATATACGTCTCTGTCTGTATTCGTCTACCTGAAACATGAACAGTTTGTTTCGATGCGGGGTTGGTGCGGTTTGAAGCCAAGGCCAGCAAAACTTAAAGCCGCCCAAGTTTGAAGGAACACGCGCTGTTGTATCGCTTCAGCCGACTCAGTGCACGTGCTAGCAGGCAAAGTAGTTCGAGCTACCTTCTGAACTGCTCATAGAATTGTCGAGATACATCTATGTTTTGTTTCTGGCAACTCTGAAATGTAAGGCCTAGCTTTGTCTTCCACATCGAGTTGCACCATCATGGAGCAGGGATCATGGCTTACATTGCATGATGTCTCTGTTGTTCTGGCTGGTTCCGTTTCGTTCCTTGGCGGCACCAAGCTTTCCAGAAGCTGCTGTGTTTCATAGCCTGGGCGAGGGCTCCTAAAAGGACAAACAGCGGCTCTGTTTCTGAGTGATGAAGCATACCTGTTGCCTTTGTTTTTCTCCAGGATCCCTGCGCTCTTGATGCAATGGACGGAGTCACAGAAGACATCGGGGGCTTTTAAGGTGGCAGCAGGAGCGCTTCTGTCGCGCGTTTCCGTCCGCGCTGGGATTAAGGCCACCGCGGAGAGGTGAAAGGGACCTCATCTCCTCAACGAGCATTCAGGCATCCATTTTTTGACTGTGTATGTTTATGTGTGGCTGTGGGTCAAAATGGGTACCCAAAATGGAACCCTGGTAAATGGAACCAAGGACTAAAACCTGCGGTCCCCTGGTGGTTAAATTTGGACCCATGCCCGTGTCACAAAATATGGGACCCCCATTCCCCCTCAAAAAAGCAACAAAACGGAAGCCAGCAGGTCTGGTTTCCCAAACAAACAGCCTAGAGACGTACCGTAAAAAAGGACACGCACATTTTCGTGATGGTTGGTTCTCACCCGTTGTTGGTGCAGCCAACATTGACATCTGTTTGGATGCTGAGAAAGGCAGGTGGTTCCATCGGGATACTTCAAAATAAGTCCAGAATTCTCACAACCACCCATAGTCCCATAGTCCGGTTGAAATATGTTTGTCCCAGTTCCCTGAAGCTGACTTTCTCTCTCTCTTTTTCTCTCTCTCTTTCTCTCTCTCTCTCTCGTTCTCTCTCTTTGTCTCGCTTTGGACAATCTCAAGCTATCGCACCACTCATGAGGACTGCCTTGTTTCAGGTTTTTTGGCTGCTTTGGGCCTGTAGCGAATTTCACAAGCACAAGATGACCCCTTTCCACGGTGCTAGCAGCTGGGGCTGACGAAGTCAGCAGAGTCTTGCTTTTCAGTGTTTGACTACTTGGATGTTCGATTCGCCAAGTCAGTAAGTGGTTCGCCAATTGGACTATAACCCCCTAGCAACTAGACCGAGGTTAGCCCTCCTGAACGGGGGAACAGGGGTACATTTTGCCAAGGGATGTTAGGACTTTAACTTTTTGCCAACTAATGGGTTTTCCATTAAACCACTAAAAGTTAGACTTTTTGCAGGGGATCAGAAAGCAACCGAGAAGAGGGTCATTACCTAGGTTAGCAACAACTTACAAGCTTGGCCCAACGCCCGAGTATTCCTAGCCACGGACTGCGTAGACTGGACCAACTGAGTGGACGGTAGAGATGTGTACGAACGCTATATGACTGAATCGGACACCCCTGACCGTGAGAGGCAAATTGCGTGCTTTACAGCTTCCTAACTCAGTGCAACTGGATGTTTCTGTGCTGCATACTTCTCAAATTCTGGCATCTCAAAATGGGATCTGTTTCCTTTGGTTTCCTCATGGTTTCCCGAAGCCAAGCCAAAATCCCAATGGCCTTCTTCCTGTATGCGTGTGCAGCCAAGCGCCTGTACGCCCCCGCGCGACGCCAGTGACACCAGATGGGCAAGGTGAAAGCCGCTGAACCCTGATCTGTGGCTCAGTTGCCCAAAGCGAATCAACCTTGTTATCCTTGACTGCTACTTTCTTGTTGGATCTTTAGACTTAAACTTTTTGGGAAGTCAACAAGCCCACGAAAGGTTAGACTTTTTGCAGAGGGGTCGACAGAAACCAAGATTTCAACCGGTTGGCTTTCCCATTTGGGGTGATGTTTAGTAAAGGTCCCGAAAGGTTAACCTTTTGTCTTTGGGTCCCTACATGGGCAACTGAGGTGGACAAACATCCCCAAATGATGTACAGCAAAGGGTCCCCAATCCCCAAAGACTCATACCCATTTTGGGGTCTGTGCGGACAGCACACGGCACTTCAGAAACGGCTTCCTGAAGAGA